CCACCCAGTTAACCTGGTATATCCTCTGATGATTTTCCGACTTAGGCAGGAACAGACGCAATCTCTGGGACAGAATCATAACTAGCCTCATACAATATTTACATCAAATAGGTGGTTCGTTGACGCCAAGATCATAAACTTACTCTCGTTTGGCATAATGGATCAGAATATTTTCGGTCGGCACGTAGCTTCTTCTGTGAAGACCTGTTGAGCATGTCGTAACTTCTCGTTCGGCTGTTTCTTTTAAGAGGCAGTTTGTTTGTACTTTGTTCAGGCAAACTCGGAGGAGCCAAATACTGACTGTCCTCCTCTTGAAGACGAGAGTGTACCAGATCGCATAGAGACGCAGAGACTTGTGACTGGGTGTGTGAGCAAACGACTTTGGCCGGCTTGCGCGCCTGCCAGACCCTTCGTGGCCGAGTGGCTACGAACTCGGAAAATCGACGTCGCTTGCGCTCCGTCCTCCAAGCACTGAGTCCACCCAGACGAGGTGGGCCATCGCAGGGTTCACGTCCAGACTGAGCTGTCACGGAAGAGGTCGGTCCTCGATGCCATTTCAGACTGAGATGCCCAGCCATGCCGGAGACGCTGTCATGGTTGATGGCATTGATGGTCATGCGTTTTCGAGGCCTCGGCACGGTTGCTCCGGCCAAGTGTGGTGTGTCCGACAAGTGGCCCAGTTTAGCTGCCTCTTGCGACCATGATTGTTGCATTGGCTGGTGCGTCGTGAGCCGGCGTGCACGAGACGACAGAAGCGGAGTTGTTGGCCCGGCAGCGAAGACACTTGGCAACTCTGTCTTGCCAAGGAGGTTCGTAAAAGACGGCAACGCCGAGCGCCGTCTGGGTGCTGCTGCCTTGTTGACGGGGCCGCAGATAATACTATTGGTAGTCGAGCTGCACAGAGACTGACCAGCATCGTCTGATATGCTGACTCGTCTCAGCTCGTCCCGGAGAGCGTTTATCTGCTTCGTCAACTCCTTCATCTGATTGCGTATGAGAAATAGAGAAAATATGAATATAAATGTGGACTGTACGGTGCAATAAAAAACTTGATCCATGTTTTCCTATGTGAATGAGAATACATTTTGGAAAGCATGGAAACATTCAAATTATGCCACCAAAGATTATACTACTTTTATGAGTATAAGTAATGTAGGCGAATGTAAGGATAAAATACATTTCATTTATATAATTATTATATTCAACTATAATTCTTTGTTGGTATGCATTAGTTGGTAAAAAAAGTGAATGAAATTGTTTTTTTGTAATTATCGACCATTATTAATAATACGATGTATGGCAAAATCAATTAAATATTTTTAATAATCAAACAAAATGGGTGGTATTCACCCAATTTCGTTAAGGTAATCAAGGACTGGTAGTTGAATTTGTCCACAATT